TTTCGTGGTAAGAATTTTTCCCATGTAATTGTCTCTGAATATTCAGAATTGTCAGAATATGCATCTGTTTTCTTTATAAAATTAATTTGACATTTTTTTCACTGATTTTTTTTTTTGAAATATTTCTAGCCCTTTTTCTTTTGCCGAATTGGTAGGGCTAATTTTTCTTTAGGATTTTACACATTGCAACTTGGAACATTTAGAAGGATTTGAAGGCAGGATTTACAGACCCACAATTCTAGAAGGCTCCAGAAAAAATTGACAAAATGAAAATGTCTTCATTGTATTAACACATAATGGATGTATTTTACAGAAAGTTTTTGATGAATTTCTTACATTTTGGGGAATTTTTGGACAATGAAACAATGAAGGACAGTGAAAACATAATGTTTGAATGTTGTACTTCTGATACTAGAAATCTTTTTCTTAACATGTTTATCTTCCCTTTATTTTCTCAACTTTTCACTAGACACAAGTACGGAAAATATCAAAAATATTTCTAATCTTTTCGCATGGATTGGCATCTATAAAAAATATTTTTTCGATTAATAAAGAAAATGAAAACTGACAATTTAAGATTCACCTTATATGTCTCAATGGATCATACACAGAGCTGACACAAGGTATTTTCCTACCTGATGCAGTCTCAGTGGATCCTAAATTCTGCTCCCACTACCTGTTTTAAATTCTAAAAGTTTTGCTATTTCTAGATTTTGTTGCTTGGCGTGTCTTTAAATTCTAAAAATTCTGCCTCATCGGCCCTGAAACCAGTCCTTTCATTTCACCTAATCATATCATATTTATCAGCTTTTTCTTTTCATTCTACATGCATTGGGGTTTTTAGAATAACAGAAGTCTTTAATTAATTCCAAAAATTCTAAAGAGGAAACAAATTGAAGAAACTAAATGCATAAAGAAAAGAAAACTATACATTGATGATATGTACAGTTATTATCATGCAAATTAACCAGTTGTTTATAATTCTAGCCTTTACTACAGTCAAAAGTCGTTAATTCGGACACCCATAATCCGGACCTCAAAGCTACAAACTTTCTGCGCATGCGTCGCGTTCACGCATGCGCACAGGCGTTTACGAGTGTGCGTAAGACCTTTACGGCTGCAAATATGTTTGTGCGCATTCGCATTTAATGTGTAATTTAAGCTAAGCTAAAATTATCTAATTTAGTTAATGTTGCAGATTGCATTGTTCCTTAATCTTCGAATTGGATCCAGTTTATTATTTTTTGCAGACTGTTAGAGCAATTTCATAAAAGTAAGCTTGAACTTTCGATTATGTCAAATAGAATTTCCGATATATATTTACTAATATGTAATTTATCTATATTTACTAATATGTATCTAGAAGCGAAAGTATGTTTCAAAATCCGAAATCTGTTTATCAATTTCGCGCTGCGGATTGGAAGTTGATCTGTCAGCAGTATCCTTATCTTCAGGGCAGATGTTTTTATTTTATTTGGCTTATAATTCCTTATTAAGTGTAGTATTTCATCTCGATGTACTCTGTCTTTGATATGATTTAAATCAAGTTCCTCGTCATTATAATTTGCTTCCGATAGTGAAGAAAGTGACCCAGAGGTTATTGAAAACGAAAACATTTCGATTGACAAATTAGTCGGTATTCTCAACACAGCAATTATAGGACTTGAACAGCGGAACTTTGTAACTAAACAAAAAATTATGTATGTTTAATAGAATTAAAGAGAAAGTATTATCGCATGAAACGAAGCAACTTACATTGAAAGAAATGTTTAATAAAGTAAACAAATATTAAGCTTTTTCTTTTTGTAAATTTTGATACCCTTTAGATCATAATTGTTCTTTATTTCATAAATTATGGTTTCATATTTTTAATTTTGTAATTTCTGCATGCCATCTTACCAGATTTAAACGGATGATCTATAATCCGGAAAAATCGATAATCCGGAATCGCCGAAGTCCCTACGAGTCCGGATTAGCGACTTTTGACTGTATAAGTTCCCCTTTCCATTTCCTCACCATAATGCAAATCAGATAGTTTTTAAATTACTGAGTCAGCTTAGATTAAAATTAAATTGTGTAGTCTAACTACTAGTACACATTTTTAGTTTGAATTTGATTGTTTCTGTTTAATTGCATCACCAAGAGCTGTAGTTGATTTTGTCAACATAGGAACGTGCCTATATGTTCCGAGGTCTTTTTTAATAAAAGGTGTATTTAAACCTTTATGTGACTTTGTAGTTACTTTCAGACATAGCGATAATTTGCTTCATGTCCATAAGAGGTTTTGGACTATTTAACTTTTACAAGATCCAGTAAAACCTCGTTACATACACTGTTAAGAGACTGGCAGATTAGGAGATAAAGTACACAGAAACTAGTGGGAACATTGGTTTGTGTATTGAAACAGATTTTTAATTTTTAGGAAAGATGTTTAAAGAGAAGGAAATTGATATAAATTAAGCCAAAATGTCTGAGAAGGCTTCAAATTAAAAAGACATATAAATATTTTGTTATGTGTTGTTGCTTTTAATGTGGAATTACCCTAATACCATTTAAGAATCAATGTAATGACATTGATTTAAAACTGGCAATTTAAAATTACATGCATTTTAAACTCTGAAGTGTTATTAGATTGTGATATTAATAGTGTTTTCCAACAAATGTTTTTAAAAAATGAATAAAATTTAATAGTGTCATGTAAATCTGTAACGATTAATTGTATTTAACTACCTAATTTAATTATTTGTAACTAGCCACTCACCTTTAAAAGTTATCTCTGTATATTAAAGTTATTGCCTTTCATTAATCCTTACTGTCACCACATGATAAAGCACAAAAATATACAAATTCATGTAAAATTTATTCTTTGCATCTAGTGAGACTTAAAATAATACAAAACAACTTATCACCTCTGGTGCATTAGTGGCTTATTGGAACCTTAAAATATATTAATTAGGTTACAATGGCAGGAACTCTACATGAAGCTATAGCACTAACTGCATCAGGCTTTCAGGTTTGTTCTGATCAACAGATCTCTCTCTAGGCAAGCAACAGCCAATCTTCTGGTATGGATCATGCTGATTATGATTTTATTTCTCATTTTAACCTATGGCATTTGACATAAACTCTACGTGCTATTCACTAAACCTCTAGACTAAGAACATGGCAAAATGAGACGTTAAAAAAAAAAAAAAAAAAATAAAAAAAAATCAACATAAAGCTGTTAGTAAAACGTAAATAAAATGTCCCTAATCTTCTTCTCAAATTTGTTTTATAATTATGTGTATTAAGTTATGTTTATTAAGAATTTATCCTACTTACAGATCTCTTTTATTCTTAGAGGTTTATTACAAAAACGGAGTTCAGACATAAGTTGATTGAATTTTAATTGAATTTATTCAGCTCCCATTTGCTGATAGGTCTTTAATTTTTTTTGTTAATGGTCTTTAAAAGTCCTTAAAAGTACTTAATTTTCATGTGGAAATGTGTCCGAACCCTGTATCTATGATAAGTGTTCACCCTTTATGCCAAATTTCCATGAAGTACAGCTTATGTTATCTTATACTTTTTATATGGGATATCCTATGTTTTTTCAAAATCAAAATAATAGCTATCTCATGCAATAATTTTACAAAGGAAGTCAAAAATTGGGGATTTCTGTAAATTAATTAAAAATTACATAAAAAATTGAAAATTGGAGGATAAAAATTGCTTGATTTGTTCTCCTCATTTTTGTTTATTTGTGAGAACATTTAATAATTATAAAGCAACTTGGCATAATATTAATACTATAATAAATACATTTTCATATTGCATTCTTTTATCTGTTAATGGGATTTAATTTTGTGGTAGTTACTTCTTACAGGTTACTTTCTTTCCGTGCAAGTAAAAGTTTAATTATTAGCTATTGCATTAGAAGCAACAACTTGAAGTTAGAAGAATCCAAACTGGAGCTTTTAACTTATTGTCAAATCATTGACTATAAAGTGTAAACAATACATTGGCTTTTCCTCCAGCCATTAAAATATCTTCTCATAGGTAAATGATATATGAGAAGATATTTTCATAAATTCTGATTTTGTAGGGATATGTACAATTTATTTATTAGTTTAAATAAGGTTTATTTTACATATCCTTTTGATAACACACCTGTAAACATATTAAGTTGCTGTTAAGTATTGCATAAGTGTACTGACTGAGATGCAAGCAATTAAAATCTTTCTAATTTCTTTCATTTAAAAATGGAAAGGGTGTTTTTTTGTTAATCCATGGTGGCCATGACATAAGCCTTTGACAACATTTGAAATTTGCATGCTGCAGATGGATTATTAAATTTTCAATTTTGATTACTAGTCACAGTGGCTGTTTTAACAAGGATGTACTATGAATAGTACCCTAAATAAATAAAAAAAAATAATGAAATGCAATTTTATATTAAAAATAGAAATGAGTGATGTTATATTCATTTTTGATATTTATATATTATCACAACCACCTTGGTTCACTCCCAATAACAAAAAAGTAATAACTTTTTTCATGCAAATGGCAGCACCTTTAAGAATAGATTAAAGCAGCTATTCATTCCCTTTAATGATTTTTCAGCAATATCTTGCATTCCTTTCAAAAGTTTGATGTAGTTTTTTTCCATTGCAGGCAAATACCACAAGTGTATATTTTAAACTTGAATTTAACATAATAGATACTGCAGTTTATCTCTGAAAGCTATACTAACTTGGAGTAGAACTAAAGGAATGCTATGAAAAATGGAGACATTGCTTGTTAAAACTGAAGAATTATTACATACATGGTTGCTAGATTTTGATGTATTCTGAATATTTGGCAGCTTTTTCTGAGGTGGTTGCAGTAATATGCAAGTATCATATTTGAACGAATAACAAGGTATATGAATATTACATTTCAATCAGTATATATTTCCAGAAATAAAAAATTTAAAAAATACTGTGTTGTTCCTTTTTCAATGTAAAGCAGTTTGCTTTTAGCTTGTGCTCCAAAGCATTGTGGAAGATTAGTTACAGATATTGTTATAACACCAGAAGAGGCTGCACATCTTTTAAGGTAAGTGCAGTTTTGTTATTTGATTTTAAAGCAAGTAATCAAACAAGAAATAGCAGGTTTGATTTAAATAAATAAATAAATAAATAAAAATTAAAAAAAAATATGGTTCTCTTTTGTTATCAGGACCAGATTCAGAAATGTATATCTGTATGCATTTCTGTATGTACAAACATATGTATACATACACACATTTCTGAATCTGGTCCCAATAACAAAAGAGTATCAAAAATACTAAGCTTTATGTAACTTAATCATAAAAATAGATCACTTTCCTGTTGGAAAACATATTATTTTTTACCATATAATTAATTTTTTTAAACTGTATTGAAACAAATATGCAAGTTTCAACTTTGCAGTTTATCTGCCATGATTTTCTCTGATGATCAAGTACCTATTTATAGTAAAGCTTGTGCATCTTGGAGGGGGAGGGTAATTAAACTATAACTTAACACTAAATAATGTAAAACTTTCATTCATAGGTACTTCTTTTATTGGTATAAATAACAATGTTTTGTAATTTTACCAGTTTTAAAAAACTGAATTGTGTTATATATGTTGAATTATGTTCTATGTATTTAGAATGATTTTTACATCTCTTCATATACCAGTTCATCTTTTCTTTTTCTGTATTTTTTTATCTATAAATAGTTATTTAGCATGTTAATTTCTAAAGAACTGAGTTAAAATTGATGATATTGCTTTATAAAACTGTATATAGTCTTACATTAGATTAAATATTATATTAGTGTTAAAAATTGAAAATTATGCATCAATGCTAAAAGAAACAAAATGTATAATAGTCTCTTAGTTAGATGTTATCAAACATGATATCTAAATTAATCTATACTGAGTGCATGAGTATAAATGACTGGAAAAATGCATTATGGATTTTCCAAGATTTAAAAGAAAAGCTTTTGAAGATTGGAAACATCTCTAAAAGTTTCAATTTTAAACATTAATTGTAAATTCTTGAGACGAGCAAAGTAATTTTTTATATATGAAACTTATTCTATGAAGCCACCTATAGCATCAGTCATAGTATTCAGATGATCTCGAAAGTTAAAACAGCCATACCTTTAACCCCATGAGACAAACTTTGAAATGCCTGGCAGATTCTCTTCCATTCATTTTTTGTAATATGTTTAGTCTTCTTAATAACCTTTTTAACTGCATCTCAGTTGAAAGGATTACAATGAGGTAAATCTGGAGGCCATGTATTGGAAGTAAACTGGTATATACAGTACAAAGTCTGTAATCCGGACTCGTCGGGACTTCGGCGATTCTGGATTAGGGTTTTTTCCGGATTATAGATCATCAATTTAAGTCTTGTAAGATGGCATACAGAAATTATACAATTAAAAATATGAAACTGTAATTTATGAAATAAAGAGCAATTATGATCTAAAGGCTATCAAATTTTGAAAAAAAAAAAAAAAAAAAAAGAGCTTAATATTTATTTGTTTACTTTATTAAACATTTCTTTCAACACACACATGCGTAAAGCATACATTACACACATGCGTAATGTATGCCCGCGTAAAGTTTGTGGCTTTGAGGTATGGATAATGGACGTCTGGATTATGGACTTTGTACTGTAGATAAGTCAAATCTTTTTTTAAATTTCCTAGCCATGTGCACTGGTGCAGTCTTGCTGGTGTTGCCAACTGCTTCATGCCAAAGCTTGATCGCGATTACCAGAATATTTTGGTACACATTTTGCTTCACTGTTAGATCTTTGAGAAAGGATTATGCATTTAAAATGAAATTAATATTATTCTTATTCTGTTTAGCTTGATCTTTTGTTGCTGTGAAAGACCACAGCCTCCACATGAAAGTTTGAATCCGTTGACTACTTCCTAATTCTCTGAATTGTAAACAATGCCATTGTTGGTCATTCCAGCATAAATTCAGCAGTCTGTCACCTTCCATCTGCACTCTTCTGGCCACACATAACCATCTAATCTGTTTTGGGTCTTCATGATAATTAAGAACCTGGAACAAAAAATATGATTAAAAGATTTTATATTATCTGTGATTTCCCTGTTAAATTTTATGCAAATTCTTGAATACCTTGTATTTACTAATAGGAAAAAGGGGTTTCATTATTAAGCTATACACAAATGTTTGTGCTGCATGGTTCTTTAAAAAAAGTTTTTCTTTTTAAATCTTTTGCTGACTACGCCATGTATTATATGTTAGATATGTGCTCAGTGATCGTAACATGATGAACACAAACATCCAATTGCCAAATACCATTTAAAGTGTCTTTTGATTAAACAAGGTAGCGATGCAAATATTTATAAAAATTATCAGTTATATATGTAATAAATTACATGCTGCATTCTATCCTTTATAAATTGCATAAGTTACAGATATTATTAAAAAGTAAACTTATACAGGGTATTTAATAGATCATGGGACAAACTAGGAGGGGTGGTGGAGCGTACTAAAACATGCATTTTGTTATAGGAATGTAGGGTCTAAAGTGACAGGTTAGGGCAGGAACGTTTTAAAAGGGCACAAGAGGAAAATGTGTTTATGTATAAAATCAACGCAAAGTGCTTCTTTGTAGCAATACAGTATTCACAATAAATGTTAAAAATTGCAACATCTCATAAATGATGCTCTTCAGATGGCCCCATAAAAAAAATCCAAGCTGGATAAATCTGGCGAATGCAGTGGCCATCGAATGGGTGCACCACGGCCAATCCATTGGCCCGGAAATGTCCCATCCAAGTAATTGCGGACTCGCAGGTGGTTATGGGCTGGTACACCATCATGCTGGAACCACATGCGATCACGAACGACAGCCGGAACATCCTGCAGCAATTCCAGTAGCACCTCTTGCAGAAAAATATGATAACATAAGCCATTTGTACGTGCAGGTAAGAGGTATGGGACTATGAGGTAGTTGTTAACAATACCCGCCCACACATTCATGGAGAAGCGGGTTTGGAATACATGTGGACGTGTGCTTTGTGGATTATGAGTTCCCCACACGTGCATGTTGTGTTCTATTGAAGATGCCGTCTTGTGAGAAAGTTGCCTCATCCATGAATAGCAGCACATACGATGGGAAATCTGCCTGTGCCACACACTGCTGCAGGAACCAATGACAGAAATGAACTAGAAGAGGATAATCTGTCTCTTGCAAGGCTTGGACTTTCTGCAAATGGTATGGGTGCAAACCATTTTTTTCATGCAGTACTCTCCAAACAGTGGAATGACTCAGCTGCAGACGATGTGCAATAGCTCTTGTACTTGTCTGAGGTATTTCATGCACAATGCTCAAGATGGATTCTTCAATGCGAGGTTGTCGTGCACTTTTTCTTCCACTCCTAGTGTCAGAGGTTACTTAAAATGACCTATTTTCACACAGAGACCGATGATGCAACCTCTCGAACATTGTGTGCTTCGGCATATGCCTGTTCGGAAACTGCCCTGGTACAACCGTAATGCTGCTCTGCCGTTTCCATTAGCAGCACCATACATGAGATGCATGTCAGCTTTTTTTTTGTGTGTAAACTCACCTAGTACGCTCGACATCAGAGTTGCAAATGATCCTCTGATGCATTGGATCGTGGGTTGTCCGGCTCACTACCGCCCTCTACCGTTGCATTGCCAGCCAATCACAGCTGTAGTTCCTATTACTGTTAGTGTTCCCCTTTTTTTGAACATTTATTGTGAATACTGTATTGCTGCAAAGAAGCACTTTGATTTTGTACATAAACACATTTTCCTCTCGTGTCGTTTTTTGGCATTCCTGCCTTAGCTCGTCACTTTAGACTCTACATTCCTATACAAAAAATGCATGTTTTAGTATGCTCCACCAACCCTCCAAGTTTGCCCATGATCTATGAAACACCCTGTAAGGAATTATATACAGTACAAAGTCCGGACTCGTCGGGACTTTGGGGATTCCGGATTTGGGATTTTTCCGGATATTAGAGTATCAGTTTACATCTAGTAAGATGGCATGTAGAAATTATAAAATTAAAAATATGAAATAATGAAATATTTATGATATAAAAATATCAAAATTTGCACAAAAAAAAAGCTTAATATTTATTTGTTTACCTTTAAGTTGCTTTGTTTTTTTGTGCTAATACTTTCTCTTTAATTCTGCAGACAGACATAATCTCTTGTTCAGTTACATTGCTGAAGTTTGTAACTGCTGTTTCGAGAATTCCAACTAACTTATCAATCGAAATTTTGTCGTTTTCAGTAACTTCTCTGTCACCTCCTTCACTATCGGTAGCAGTATTTTCTGGATCTACAACCATACTACAGATTTTCACCATTCATTAATTGATTGATGATTGAATAGCATTGTCATCACAATGAAAAACTTCTTTTATATAATCTTCATTTATTACCGCTTCTCCACATTTCTTTATAAAATCCATTAATTGGAAAATTTCACCTTTGTTGTGCGATATCCGAAAACCTTTAAAATTAGCACCTATCAACATAAAATTTAGCTATTCTTCACTATACATATTTGGCTATGGAACAACTTGTCGTTTGTCATGAGCTCATGATGCGACTAACGATAAGTTGTTCCATTAAATTAAATTTTATCTCGCTTCTATTGCACACTGAGACAATTAAGCCTGAATTGTGTTAGTTTAGTTATTTATTATATTTATGTCTATTTCTTACACATGCTTAAGGCTTATCAGAGTTCTGAATAAATAAATTCCCACCATATACTTAAGCCTTATTGAGAGCCGGCGCTAGATATCTTATCGCCTGATGCAGTTTCTGTGGGTCCTAAATTCTCCTACTCGATGCAGTTATATGAGCCCTGGCGCTGTTCTGGGTTTATCTGAATAAGAAATCAGTTATTCTTAATTGAAATAGCCCTAAATGTAATCTCTGGGTCTATGAGTATCATCAACAAAATCTACTTTTACATATACAAAAGATACCTTATGTGAAAGAAAATTTTGGTAAATTTTTCCTCGTCAACATTTTTTAGCGCATTTAGCTTAAATCTGTAATCATCGGCAAGCATAATGTCACATAGAAGGTTACCATACTCCTTTATTATTCAATATCTAGCATAAAAAATTGTTTGGGTGTCGCTACATGAGTCATTACTCAAGTTGTCATGTTTTGATAAACGTGCGGTGATGAAAGTATAATAAATAATGACTCGCCATGTTGCCGTCAGATCAATAATGTATCTATGTGGAATTTTTTGTTTTGAGATGTTGCCAAGCAGATAAGCAGCAACAGAGACAAATTACGGATCATACAAATTTATGCTAAAATTATTGTTTCTTCAATAACAAGGTATTTTATTTAGTGTCGAAGCGAAATTAAGAATCAGGACTCTCCAGATGTTTTATTAAGTGTAGAATCAAATGCGAATGCATAAAGCCTATGAGAGAAAACGTTGGTGGTGGTTTTGAGGTCCGAATTTTAGATCATTCCGGATAATGAACGTTCAGATATCGGACTTTGTACTGTATTATTTTTAGTTGCTCAGTCAATTAAGCAGTGTATATTGTTTTAATTTGCAGAAGAAAAAAAAAGAAAAAAAGAAATCTTATGGTAACCATCTGAAAGTTGGCAATTTGCCTGACTGCTTAATTAACAAATTAAAGATCTTATTTCTGTGTGATGGTAGTATTTGCCAGATCATGTGCACGATAAGTATTCTAGTAGCATATCATGCCAAAAAATGGAAAAATTGATCTGTATACATTTCTAATAATAAAATGCACAGAATTCTAAGCAAAATCACAATCAATTTTGATATATCTTGCATTAACCTAGGACGGAAGATTAGTTTTTGCTATTTACTTCCTGAATATAGAAATTTACATCAGTAATGAAACCCAGAATCAATCATTGTACATACTTTTTTAATGATGGAGTGTTACAAATAAAACTGACATTCAGCCAGAATAACAGAAATGTACATTTAGCGCTCTATTAATTGGGTTCTTTTAAAAAAAAAGTCTTTGTTTATTGCAGAATCATGGGAAAATTATAATCACAAATCATCATTTACATAATCAAATGAATTTATTCTCCTAATTTAAACTGTTTAAAAATGTAGTAAATTGTTATTAGCATTTTCTGTTAGTTATAGTATGAGTTATTTCTCATTTTTATGTTTTTTTAACTGCTTTTAGATTAAATGTGATTTTCTATTAATCATGAAATCTTTGGTATTATGCCATTAATTTTGAGTTGACTATATTGTTAAAAAACATTTTTCCTTATTTCTTTGTAACTGGAATTTTTGTATCCTTTAATCCTTCTACATAACATATACAAAAGATACCTTATGTGAGTAGTCTCTAGCTGATGCCCTGCATACCACATGCTACCCCAAAAGCAATTTATTTAGGCCTGCAAATATGTTTCCTGAAAATTAAATATTGTTATAGCACTGGTTATTACAACAAGAATTTGAAGAAAGGTTTGTAATTTTAATGATGCGAGTTCAATTTTACATTATTTATATTATCATTGAAAATGAACATGAGTAATGCCCCAGAAAATCTACAAATGGAGCTAATTAATTTCCATTGGGAAATAAATCATTCAAAGATTTGAAAATGGAGTTTTGATTAACTTTTTTTATAGTTGTCAAAAGATAAATACACTCAATTGCAAATTTTTGCAGTAAGAATAATTGCTTTATTTTCAATCATATTTATACGGGAACAGACTTGCTTTCACTGTTGAAAATTAATAAGTCAAAGAAAAGAACTAGAATGATTGATGAGCGTCTGCAGTTCATGATAAAGATAGTTTCTAGTAATTTTTCTCCAAGGTTACCAACTTTGTCAAAATTGAAATGCCATGAGATGCTGCAGTTGGAAGTTATATTAAAAAATAAGAAAGTTTATAATTATTTACCTGTATATGTATTTTTTCGAAATGCATCAAAGAAAAGTTTAATAAGTAAGGAAAGCATTTTATCATTATTTGTTCTCAAATTTTGTCCCACTTAGAAAGTTCTTATAATTGTTTAAGTTAAAAATAGGTTATTTGCCAATTTATTCAATATGTTAGAATTATTTGAAATAAATGATTGTTTAAAATTTGATATTTAGCTATCAAATATGTTTGAAATGCAAAGTGTAACCGTCAGAAATGTTTTTCAGATACCAACCTTTAAATTTCAGACAGAAAATAAACATAAACTGGAATTTTTTCCTTTGTGCCATTATTATTACTGTTCATATGTTATCTGATAAATATTTAGCAAATGAAACTGAAAATGTAGTTTTGTTAAAAAAAAAAAATTTCGGCTTGTCAGCTGTTTTTGGATTGTGAATTGGGCCTGCATGCAATATGAGTTTGAGACTGCTGCCTTGTGTTGTTATTCTGTCTTTCAAAAACTAAATGCTTTTTGATTGAATTAATTCTTCATTTTAAGAGTTGCTAAAAAGGGTTTGGCATTTGGTGGTTCATATGGAGGAGCTTCTATATTGGACTTGCATTCTGGAGCTTTGTCGTATGAAAATTCTTTTATTAATATTTATCAGTAAGTATTTCTTTTTATATTGTTTTTAAAAACCATAACCAAATATTTTCACTGAATTAATAATTCATCTAAATGTTTTATATTTGAAATAAAATTGAAGTCAAAATGTGTTGGTAATAAATATTGGCTCTACTCTTATATGCGCCCAAAGATCAACAAATGTGGTGATATGTGTTCTATGCTGGTTTTTGGTGCGATTGCATGTCATATGGCAACCCTTTTGACATTGAAAACTCTTTTGCTGGAGTGGTTTAATTGTTCGTTGGTTCGTGTCGTGCATGTTTTGAAATGGCCTATGTTGCAATGAGAGACATAGTTGCGTAAGGGTCTAGCAGATTATTTTTAGTGGCTGTGCATGATAGAAGTAAAAAAATGCTGATGCAGTGTATTAAAGAGTGGATTGAGTGTTGTACAACTATTTTTTCGGATGGTTGGAAATCTTACAAGGATTTAGGAAAAGAAGGTTTTGAACATTTATTTGTGAACCATAGTATGAATTTTGTAGATAGCGAGTCTGGCTGTCATATAAATACCATAGATAGTACGTGGTGGCATGTTAAAGTTACGTTCTGCTGTCCGAAGAAGCATCGATTATGATAAGTGCATTATATTTTATTGTTTTTATTTTGTAGAATGTTCATTATTTTTTTACTATGAATTCCTGTTTTTATTGTTGTTTTTTGAATTATTTGTAATTTATTTTAGTTATTTTAGTTTATTTTGTTGATTTGTGCATAGTGCCTAGATTATGCAATTCATAGATGTGTTTTTAAGTTTAAACAGAATGTTGTGTACATGGTATTCTTTGAAATTTATTGTTGTTATGTTAATTTATTAAAGCGAGGTGTGCATAGTTTGTAGATTTGTAGATTCCTTCACTGGCTATATTGTGCAATTCGTAGATTTTTTTTAAAATTTAAAACATATCACTGTGTACATGGATTCTTGTCAAATATTTTTGGTTAGAAACTCTACATTTTTGGTATCTAAATTTTTTTTTTTTTTTTTTTTTTTTTTTTTTGTGTTTCGGATTTTTAGCTTAAATTGTGTTTTTAAAACGTGGTTTTTGCATATGCGGAAACCACGTTTTTGGAGACATTTTAGGCTTAAAGTTCGAAATGTAGACAAAAAAATTTAGATAGTAATATGTACCGTGGAGGTTTGGCGAGAAATTTGTCACTGCATTTGGCAACCTGAGGGCGCATATAAGAGTAGTCCCTAAATATTATTTTGTTTTAGTTCATATGTAGAAAATCATTCAATATTAAAAATGTAGATTTTTAGCAATTCCTTTTAATAATAATCCCATTTTGCATTTTAGGAAATTAAAAGCCCTTGACAAAAATATTTTCACTGCTGATGATTTTAAAGTGTACAGGTTTGTATGTTTTTAATTATTAATATTGCTGTCATGTATGTTCATGAACTCTGAAAAACGATTTGTACATTATATATAAATGGTATGTGTAATACCATTTATATATAATGGTATATATAAATGGTTAATTTTGGTTATATCAAAGCATACTATGGCTTTCTGCTCAAAGATCTTTCTGACAGAAACTAGGTCATAGAGAACTTTCAAAGAAAAACTTGATTATATTCACATTACATATGGGGAAAATTACAAAAGCACACATGCAATCAGCCTGTTTTTCAGGATTCTAACCTAGGTCCAACTACCAACATGTGATTTTCTTTTCCATTGAACAATCGGTGAGCATAAATGCCATATATCTTGCTTTTATAATTTTTTGTGATGAATTTTGAGCCTGCATGAATTTATGTGGTATGTATATGGCAATATATTAGTATTTAAAACTAAGCAGAAAGCAATCCTTTTTTGCTCCTGAACAAGAGAGACTTTCCCTTGAAATGAATAGAATTTTATTCAAAACCTATACCAAACTAAGGTTGCTTTTTTAAATTTTACATTGTCGTGTTTTTCTTCTAGTTTGAACATGTCACTCTTTTACAATGTGAAAAGCAGGGTTTTTTTTTTTTTTTTTTTTTTTAAATCATTTGCAACTAAAAGTTTTTGTATGTATTCTTACATCCAAGCAAATAAATGGCATATCTATATATATGAATTCTTTCTTGGTATTATACTTTCAGATTAATAAAATAATTAGCAGCCAATTATTTCATGTATGCAAACATTTATTTTTAAGATGCATAGTATTGATTAGAATTTTTTGTTACACTACAGGCTCATATTATATGGCATTTGGTATAATTTAGTTGTTTTAACTAACTGCATATTATGTTATAATTTAATTTTAAACTATAATTCTAAATCAGTTACAGATATTCTTGACTTTGATGGTTGAAACATACATTATAGTTTCAGTTTTCATACTTCAGAAATTCTTTTTTTCAGAAAAATGCACTTTTAGTTGTGGCAATTTTTTTTTTTTTATGTGAATAAAGCATCAATTATCTATCAGTCTATTATCCTGTGAGGTAAGATAATAAATGAGTAACAAGTTCTTTGCACTGCCATCACTAGATATATGCAGTAAATAACAAAGATGCATTTTTAGCATAATATATTGTATAATATTTTATCAAGATTATCTTGAAACTAGTCAAATTATAGTTTCTTTAATTTGCTTACTGTTATAGTGGATAAAAATATAATATTTAAAATAAACCCTAAATGGCCTCTAGCAACAACTTAATAAAAAACAGACATATTTTATTTTCTGAAGAGAGTTTTATTTTTGATCATAATGTGTTAAAGGTGAATCTGTATTTTTATTCTGTTGTAGTAGATAAAGGCTACTCAGAAAAAGTAAATTGAGGGTACAATAAAAATAACAGCACAGTTAAAACACAGATAAAATTTTCAGTTCATATGTTGGTTTTACAAGCTGTTTTGTAAATTCTTTATAAAGAGTATACTATTTTATGTTCAAAATTGCATGGTAGCATTAAATGGGATGTTTGTTTAGTTTTTATCTGAAAGTATAATACAGTACAAAGTCCAAATCAAGAAATGTTTGGATTTCAGAAATTTCTGGATTTTAGATCTTCAATTTAAAGCTAGTAAAATTACACATAAATTATGAACTTAAAAATATGAAAGGTTGGTTGTGAAATAATGAAGCATTTAAAAATTCAATGTTAACAAAAGTTTTATTTCATTAAAGATTTTTTTTTAATGTAAGTTTCTTAAGGAATTTTGCTTTGTATCTTAACTTGCTTTTTAATTTTATAGAGAGACATAATTTGATTGTTCACTTTCAATACTTTCACTGTTTAAGTCCTATAATTACCGAGAATTCACATTAAATAGGCAACTGATATCTCCATTGACCGATGATTGTCATTGTTATGAAGACTCGTTTAGTGTTCATTCACATATTTCATTAAACAAAACATTTTTCTATTCTTTTCTGTGAAAGCCATCTGGTGCTCTTTTTGTTTGACATATTTTCTTACACCTTGTTTTCACCAATTTAGGTTGCTTTCTTTCTTGATGTAACTGTTTTTCATCTACATAATCGTAGTCGTCTTCTTTTTTTTTTTAAAAAAAAAAAAAAAAAACTATTATAATAAATTATTAGACAAAAAAAAAAAGAGATTAATTATTTTTTTAAAAAACATTTAATGTGTGTGTTTTTATAAAATAAAAAGAGGGAAAAAGGGTTAAAATGATATGAAAAACCACTTTACTAAAATATGAAAACAAAAATCCTGTTTAATAAATAATATAAAGTTGCTCAAGATTCAATATTGGTGCAATGCACAAATCTGAATTCAGCTCAAAAACATTTTGTATTAAGGTATGAATAATTCTTTTCATTTTTTCCTTTTTTTTTTTTTTTTTTTTTTTCTTTTAAATACCTGAAAAAATATTTTACATTGATTATATGTTATGCAACTCTGAGGCTAAACCTCAGTGCTTTCATCACAGTATTGTACAGATCTTTGAATTGTAGGTTTCCTCTGTTAGATTATATTTTTATGAGGATAATTTTTAAGGATGTTTCTCTTATTAAAATTTAAAACTTCTAATTGTAAATAATAACAGAAATTTTGTGATGTCTGTTCAAACAGAACATACTATGTTGTTGATCTTGTTGCTATTAAAAAGTACAGAAAGGTCATTAAAAGCAAGCAGTAATAACTTACAGTTTATAACTTGTTAAGAAAGAGAGAAAAGAACAAATTAATTTTTTTATCTATATAGAGAAACAAACTATTTAATCAGGTTGGGAGTATGACTTAATGCGCCTACAATTTTATGGTTTTTACCACTTCAATGAACGACAGTGTAATTGTAGGGTTGTAATATTTTTAAAGAAATATTTTAATTAATACTAGTTATTAAAAATATGTCTATAAATATGTACTTTTAATGTACAGAATTGAATTTTGAAACATTATGTTGTCATGAGCTTAAATTAAAAAATACTAGAATATTGTTAAAAGATAATTTTTTTTACAAAGAACATAACCGATTTTGTTTCTCCTATAATTATCAGAAGTTTAAAAACATCAATAAAGTTCGTTGCTACTAATTTCTATATGTTTATAAATTAAAAGCGTATTTTACAGTTTAGAGATACAAAAGCATTATTACATTGAAATATCACATAATTTTAAAATAGACACTAGTGTATGATTTCTTCATAATATAAAAAGTAACTGTTTATAATTATAAAAAAGATATTCTATTTTTTTTAACAGGAATGTGCGCAACAAAATTCAACAGATCATTGCATATAATTTTGGGATAAATGCAAATAAACTCCACTTAACGCATCCTACATTTTTCTCTGAGATGACACCTCGGGCTGCAAAGACAAAACATGATGAGTATTGGCATGTTCATGTTGACAAGGTACCTTTTATACTTTTTCTCCTAATCAAAAGCAAATTCTGAGAAACTTAATGCAAAAGGTTTTTTCCTTTTGATTGTTCTTTTATCCTTGATAGCATTTCAATTTATTGTATTTTAGTACTCTAATTGTACATTTATTGTATATATATATATTTTAAATATATAATTAAAAATTTTCAATTATGAGGTGATTTGAATTCTAATTCAGTATGTATTATATTCAAGTCCTGGCTAAGACAATGCTATTTTAATTGTCTTGAGTGGTATGGTTCTTTGGATTTGCTTATAAAGAGGTATCTTTGAATAGCATTTTTTTTACTTAGATTTGTGTTAAAACTTTATGCATTATGTTCTTTATGTTTTCTCTTTTTTATGCATTATGATCTAAACCTAAATAAACACTAAATAACCAGTGATATAGAGCATATGTCAACAGCAGATTTGGTTGAAAGAAAGGCCGTAGAATTTTTTTGTTGATTATTTTCTTTATTGGTTATGAAGCTTTAATGTGAAAAGTACTGAAGCATTTCAAATGGAACAATCTGGTTCGTATTTACCATATTCTGTAAATTAAACATAGAAAATCACATACTTGTGAAATATAATTTCATGTTAGAAATGAAGTAAAATACAAGGGGTAATCAAATGAAAAGGTACGAAACAACATGGTGGGTACAAATGTAGACTTTATTCAAAATATACACCATAGGCCGGAGCACAATGATCCCACTGATGAACAAGCTGCAGGATTCCTTGTTCTCCCGAATTCCTGTAGCCGTGACGAGACCCAGTCCTTCACAGCATCCTTGAGTACATCGTCCAAGTTGAAGCACTTCCCTTTCAGGTGTTTCTTCAGTGGACCAAGCACATGGAAATCGCAGGGCGACATGTCCGGACAGTAGGGCAGATGGTCCAACGTCTCCCACTTGAACTTGGCCAGTTTCATGTGTATGACTCTGGAGACGTGTGGATGCGCTTTATCATGGAGCTGAACCACACGCTCCGTGAGCAGCCCGGTCTTTTGTTATTGATGGACCTGTGTAGGCGTCGGAGTGTCTCACAGTACACATCGGAGTTAATGGTTTTTCTGTGCTCGAGGAATTTCACAAGTAGCGGAACTTGAACGTCGAAAAAGACGGTGAGCAACACCTTGCCTGCTGACGGCACGGCTTTGAAATTTTTAGGGGGAGGTGACAGCATGCTTCCACTGCATGCTGTCCCGCTTTGTCTCTGGCTTGTAGTGATAGCACCAGGTCTCACCACCTGTGATGATCCGCTCCATGAAAGCGGGGTCTTCCTGATACCGAAACAGATGTTGTAGTGCTAGCCCCATACGCAGTTCTTTTGCTGGTCGGTGAGCTGCTTCGGAACCCAAGCGGCACACACCTTCCGATATTGCAACCTGTCGTGAACAATTGTCCACATGGTTCCATAGCTGACATCCACCTTTACCGCCAACATTCACAATGTGACGCGCCGATCACTTCTCACTAGGTCGTTCACCTTGTCGATGAGATCGCTCGTGATGACAGTATTTGCCTGGTCTGGTCTTGGGTCATAACCCACACTCTCATGGCCTGCACGTAAACGGGCACTCCATTTTATGACAGACTTGTCAGAGACACATTTCTCCCCGTCAACTGTCACCATCCGGCGATGAATAGCTGCCGGTTTCTCACCTTCCGCTGTCAGAAATCGGATAACACCTCGCTGCTCCTCAGTTGTCGAATTTTGCAACGCGAACGCCATCCTGTCCTCATACAGACTGCCACGTCATTTGGACGCCGCTTTTTATAAGAGCCTCTGCTCTCTCCTGCACCTGCGGGCGCCCGCGCATGCTTCGATCCCAGTCAGAGATTCCAATCGGATCCCGAGATGTCTCACTACGTTCTCCCATGGCGGAATATGCAAATATTTAACTGTTATGTTTTTTCGTCGTTTCGTACCTTTTCATTTGATCACCCCTTGTAATATAAATAATAATTTAAAAACTCATAGTTCTGTTTATAAAACACTTTTTTTAATCAATGATTGGAATGCATACCCAATATGAGAAGTAATTTTCAAAATACAGTTTCCATTTTATTCATTTAAACTAATAGAAACACAAATTCATAATAATGTTAGAAATTTATAAGCAGTTTTTGGCTATAGCATTGGGAGAAAAAGAATATTCAAAAGCTGAATGATGCATAATTAATAACAAAATTAAGTGTTTCTGATATTCAGTTTTAAAAAACAATGTTATTTTTAGAAAAATAAAACAAACAGTATACTAATTGGAATTGTTGTTGTGTGGGGATCATATTAAAAGTCACATTATTGTACACTGTGTTGCAGAAAAAATATATGCATTCAAAAAAAAAAAAAAAAATTGATCCTTAATTACAAAACATAGCATGCAAATGAAGTTTGGTGAGTTGTGCAAATGATTAATCATTTGCAAGTTTAAATTTGCAGCACCAATCAGCACTGTGGAGCAATACAACATGCATTTGAAGGGCACAGCTAGTAGAATGTAAAAGGGCAGATGCGGAAATTGATGACCATTTACAACCACTCTGATAGCTTGGGTGCACAATAACAAAGTAATGAAAGATGCCTTTAAAACATACTCGAAGATGTTATGAACAGTTGTTAGAAGTTGAGAAGGGTCACATTATAGGGCTAAAAGAGACTAATTGGTCAAAGAGGCGGATCGGTCGTCATATTAATTGAAGCAATATGGCCATCATTTTTTGTTGGAGCCAGTGGCACTTGCCATTGACACTCCGCCATAAGCAGTGTTATCTTGCGTGGTTCCCATTGTCCGATTGGAGAAATATGATCTTCAGTGATGAATCACACTTTTCTCTCAATGCTGATGATGTGTCTGGAGACAGAGAGGTGAGTGGTCCAGTGTACCATTTACTATTTGTTTACCGAGCAGCACGCAGCCAAAACATAAGGTAGGACAGCCTGGAGAGTGATCAGCTGAAACAGATATTCACCATTAGTCTTGCTGCAAGGTGCTCTGATTGCTCGCAAGTATGTTCACAACATTTTGCAGCCGACCATACTGCCTATGCTAGCAGGTCATCTAGGTTCTTTTTTCCAGTAGGACAACACTTGGCCACATTATAGCATGACTTCCCCAACAATGTCTTCAACATGTTAATGCCTTCAACTACCCTGCTAGATATCCAGACCTGTTGCCTATCGAACACATTTGAGACATGTTCGGCAGGCGCATTCAGTAATGCAAAAATATGTCCCAACTTGCTAACTAGTTGCTGCATTTATAGCAATGGAGAGGGACATTAGCAACTAAATAGATTCCATGCCTAAGCAGCAACAGCTTGTATAGCTGCTAGTAGTGTCTTTACCACCTACTTAATTTCATATTCTTTGTTTTGCAGCTCATAAATAAAATGCTTTTTCCCCCCAATTTTTTATCATTTGTTTATCTATTCGAGCACTATACTGTTCTCGAGTTTTTTAGTTGTGTCTCTAATCTTTCTGGGTACGTACTTTTTTTTAAACAGAGTGTATTTACAGAAATCTCCTGCCCACTGTATCAAAAATATTTTCTTAGCATAAACACCCTACAAACAAGCTACTAATCAAAGTAATTCTAATAATAATTATAATTATAATTTAACATTATTTTCAAATTAAATTATATTAAATATGTTCATTATATATTCATTGGTATTTAATATGTGTGCTTCTGTAGTACCATACAACTGTAAGAAATGGTGCTGGTGCACTTGCGCTGTCTCCTAATATGATAAGTGTATGTTGTTAAACAATGACTAGCATGTGGTACATTGTCCGCAAGGTGTAACTAACAATGTATGTGTTTAAGCATTGTACTTTATGTTCATGTATTTACATATAAACCATGAAAATCTTTATTAAAAAAATCTGATTTGTACACTACATGACTTCCTTGTACGGAATATTAAATTATACACATTTTTTCTTGCATTTCGTTTAAACTTATTGCATTTAATTAAATCTACTTCGCCGACAGCGCATAAACCACAATAGAATAAATGCATTCTTTAAAATTCACACTATTTGTTTACCATAGCGACACTCTGGCGCTTGGTTCACTTAACAGTATTATATTTTGTTAATATTATAACTCAGAATGCACAAAATTTACATCATTTAAAGAATATCTAATCGTTGCCACATGTTCTATTCAAATACTATAATAATAATATTCAAATACTATATAATAGAATGATGTATAAAAGAAATTAAGCAAACAAAACAAAAAAGAAACAGTTTTTCACAGATAATTGAGTATTTATCATTCAATTAATTCAGTTCTCACTTCGCGACAAGGCAAAAATACATAAAAACTCAAAATATCTGTATTAAAATTATTAATTATTAAAAATTAAGTAAATCTTAAACACTTATTTCCTCAAAAAAATTCCAGAAAGGATTAAGCATGATTTAATTCGCAATAATAAACGAAGGCATTATCTTTGTCGTCGCGAAGCTACGTTTATCTAGATTGGCAACAAATCCACTACTCTGCTGTTTCAAATGTAAACAAGCAATGGCCGCCATCAAAAAAATTATTAGGCTTAGCGGCACTTAAACAACTTTAAAATTGTTGATTATTCTAAAAATATTGCATACAGATTTATTAAAGGCATAAAAACCTGAACCAGAAGATAAGAACAACGTAATTTAATCATTTTTAAAGCAAAATATGTACAATTTACAAAAATATAAGAGTAAAGAAATTGAGATCACTGAGCCGGGTAACAGAGTGGATATATAATAAATATATTTATATACGTTTGGCGCAGCTGATTTCAATCAATATACGAGGTGCACATCTGCATGTTATAGTAGTCCTATATACAAAATTTCAATATTCTGAGGCTACTCGTTTTTGAGTTATGCGAGATACGGTGGATGGACAAAAATATGGAAACACCTTGTGAAATGTATGTTTGAAAAGAAAGATTGATTTTAATGAAATATGTAGGTGGAGC